GAAACTGAAATAGTTATGTACTAAGGGAAAGTAGCTGTCAACTATATAACTGTATAGTCATTGACACTATTTTTCAAGAAAAATAGCAAAAGACATTTAATTAAAACAAAACAAAACTTAGTTCATAACTAACAGACCCTCACTAACTTAGCCTCTAACTCAGTATATTTCAGAAACTTGTATTTCAGAAAGAAGAAAACTGTCAAAGGAAGATCTCAGATGTAAAAAGGAATGGTGAGAAAAATAATAGTAAACTTGTAGGTAAATCTAAACAAATTGTTAACTGTGTAAAACAGCATAATATTCTCTAATTTATTTCATTAAAAAATCAAGATAGAACTTAAATCTTAGAAAATAATAGCATATAAATTAGGAATAGTGGTAACTGGAGTTAAAGATTCTAGGGTGTTTACATTATTTGGGAGGAGGGCAAAAATACTGATTAACTTGAACATAAATAACTGAAGGTGATATTAAAATGTTTAGGGTGGGGTGCCTGGGTGCCTCAGTTGGCTAAGCTTCAGACTTCAGCTCAGGTCATGATCTCAGGGTCCTGGGATTGAGCCCTGTGTTGGGCTCTGTACTCAGCAGGGAGTCTGCCTCTCCCTCTCTCCTTGTCCCTTCCCCTGCTTGTGCTCTCTCTCTCACTCGAATAAATAAAATCTTTAAAAAAATAAAAAATAAAAACAAATAAATAAAATGTCTAGGGTACCCTCAAAAAGAACAAAAAATAGATTAAACTTAGCCAGAAGCCAAAGGGAGGGTGGAGTGGGGAAAACATATTAGAACAAATAAAAATCACAAAATAAGATAGTAGTACTGAATCTCAGTAATTCAGTAAACAAAATAAATGTAAATGGACTAAAGTCTCCAAGAAAATGTAAAGACTGTCAGACTAAAAATTCCAAATTCAGCTACATGGTATTCACAATAGACACATCTAAAACATAAAGATACAGAAAAAATAATAGTAATAGACACATTATTAAAGCTGGAGAGGGTCATGATACATGAATTGGTTTATGAGGAAGATGAAACAATTTCTAATTTGAGTGTCCTAATAACATCAGCTCAAAATAAGTCAAAAATTGCAAACTACAAAAAGAATTAGATAAGTTCATGGTAGTGAAAGATTTGTGTATATCTTTCAATAATGATAGTCCATGTAGACAAAAAATATATAAAGCATATAAGATTTAAACAACATATTATCATGTTTTATCTTATGGACACATATAGAATCCTGCTCTCAACAATAATGTATACGTATTCTTTTCAAGAATAAACAGAACTTTAATGTAAAGTGAAGATATTATAGGCTATATGGTAAGTTTCTATATGTTGAACTACATGAAATTGGTATTTGTATGTCAAAAACAGCTGAAAATCATAATTATATATTGTTCAATCTACGATTTCAAATACTCTATAATTTATAGACCAAAACTTCTGACAACAATTTTGTTGGAACGTGGTACCCTCTCCCCAAAATTAAATTCCCATATATTTGGAATGTTAAAAATATCTAAGTAATTGAGGAGCTAAGGAAGAAATAATAATAAAAACAATAAAAACTTAACACTGAATATTCTATTCATCAAAATTGTGGTTATTAGCAAAAATGATACATAAAGGGAAACATGTTGCCTTAAGTGCTTATTTTTAAGTATAAATAATAATGATTTATTCTTCCAATTTAAGAAGTTATAAAAATTAAAAAATAAACCCGCCCAAAATAATAAAAAGCAGAAATTAATGAAATAGAAAAATAGAGAAGAGCAACAAAACCAAAAGTTTATTTTTGAAAAGGCTAATCAAATTGATAAACCTCTAACAAGCCTGATCAAAAACGAGGGGTGAAAGAGAGACAGGCAGAGACCACAAGAGTAAAAATAAACATAATTAAAATGAAATACAATTACAGATGGAGCAAGGTTTAAAAAATTTAGAAGAAAATATTATTAATAACTTTATGCTAGCAAATTTGAAAGCTTAAGTGAAATTCTATAATTTAAATTCCTGAAACAAACTAAAAAAAAAAGAGAGAGAGAGAGAAGCTGAATGTTTCTACAGTTACTGAAGAAAGTGAATTAATCATTAAAAGAAATCCAACCAAGAAAACACCACACTCAAATAGTTTTACAAGAGAGAAAAGAAAAGGAATAAACTTACTCCCCAGTTCATTTTATGAAGCTAGTACAACCTTAATACCAAACGAGACAAAGGCAACATAAGGAAGGTAAAGTACATATCAATCTCAGTCATGATAGTAATTACAAAATATACTAAATCAAATATTATCACATTGAACCAAATTATATTTTTAAAAGGTTTGTTTCATGAACATATGGTTGATTTAACATCAGAAAAATCTGTTCATTTCATTTACTAAAGACTGAAGGAGAAAAACGATATGATCATCTCAATAGATGCAGAAAAAGAATTCAATAACATTCAATAACAATTAATGATAGAAACTATTAGTCAGAAATAAGAGAACATCCTGCAAGTTATAAAGAATATCTATAAAAAACCAAGAGCAAACATCATGCTCAATGGTAAAACATTAAAAGCACTCTATAAAATCAGTAATGCTGCAAAGATGTCTGTTATTTCCATTTCCAACACTTACTGGAGGTTTGGTCAATATCAGTGTGTATGCTCACACAGACAGACAGACACACACACACACACACACGAATACAGAAGGACTTGGAAGGAGGAAATAAAATGCCATTATTTTATTATTTATATCAATTGTCTTTATGGAAAACCCAAAAGAATTAATACACTTATCAACTATTTGGAATTAAAAAGAATTTAGAAAGTATTTTGTATATAAGAGCACTACACAAAAGCCAACGGCACATGTACAGCCAGCAATGTTAGAAAAGGTAAATTTTTTAAAGATACCATTTACAGTAACTAAAATAGCTTAATTATAATTATAAAGAATTATAACTTTCAACAAAAAATATGTTAGAACTTTATGAAGAAAACAGTAAATGTTATTAAAAGGTTAAAAAATCTAAATAAATATGGAAAAGTACCATGTTCATGCATAAGAAAATGAATTATCTTAAAAGTGTCAATTGCCCTCCAAAATTAATCTATAGAATCAATACTATTGCCTTCAAAATGCCACCAAAGTTGTTCACAGAACTTGAAAAGCTGATATTAAGATTTATATGAAAAAAAATGGACAAGAATAGTCAAGGAACTGCTGTAGAAAAAAAACTGATGGGTGAACAGGGGGCTGGAAAACCTGACCTACCAGGTATCAAAAATTATTTTAAAATTATAACAATTAAGACTGAAGATTTGGCAGTGAAATAAGAGTTCAGAAAGAGACCCACATGTACACAGAAAGTTGATATACTGCAGAGAAGTCAGTGCAGATTAGTGGAGTCAGGACGAATTATTCAGGAAATGTGTGAGGATATTTGGAAAAAGTAAAATTGTATCTCTATTCTACATCATACACAAAATTTCAGATGAATTAAGAATTTAAATGTAAACATCAAATGGTTGGGAAAAAATTTCTAAATGATAACCTGCCGAAAATACTAATCATGAAGAGAAAAAAAAAAGAAATTTAAACAATAAAATTTAGCAGTTTGGTTCACCAAAAGACACCATAAAGGGGTTGAGAAGACAAGTCACAAAGTGGGAAAAAATATTTAAAACACATATAACTAACAAAGAATAATATCCAAGATATATAAAGAACTCCCATAAATCAATCTGAAAAAGACAAAAAGAAAATGGACAAAGATTTTTTTTTAAAGGACATTTTAAAGATTTTTATTTATTCATTTGCAGGAATGACAGAGAGAGAACAAGCAGGGGGAGAGGCAGAGGGAGAGGGAGAAGCAGACTCCCTGCTGAGCAAGGAGCCCGATGCGGGACTCGATCCCAGGACCCTGGGATCATGACCTGAGCCGAAGGCAGACGCTTAACCATCTGAGCCACCCAGGCGCCCTAAAGGACATTTTATATAAGAGGAATGATAAATGGCTCATAAACATATGAAAAGACACTCAACTTCTTTGGGAATCAGAAAAATACAAAAGGACAATAAGATATCCAAGTATTGGTTAGGACATGGAGCAATGGGAACTGTCAAACCTCACTGGTGGGAGCTTGAATTGGCTACTACTATTCTGTAAACATTTTAGCATATGTAAAGCTGAACATGTATATTCCATGACTCAGAAATTCCATACCTGGGAATATACTCTAGAAAAATTTTTGCACATATGTACCAGAAGACAATTACAAGAATGTATTATCTTACTTGGTGGGGTCAAAATGAGAAATTATTGTGAAATGTTTAATTAAGAATCATACAACATATTCATCCAAAATTGATATTTATGGAACACATAAATATTCTCTTCATGGACTTCTTATTCATTAATTGTTAAATTCATTAATAAATGTCAATAATATCCTTTTGCAAATGCAGAGATAAAACACACCTGACAGGTCAATTTTTGATATATCATGGATGACTTTTTGTTCACACTGACAGGCATATATACTTTAATCACCGAAGACTAAACTGAGCATTTATGAAAGAAAATCCTTTTTGAAGATTATTTTGATTTAATCAGGATTAAAAGTAAATAACTTTTATCCTTATCAACTTTAAATAAAATAACTTTAGTTTTAATATCATACTTAATCAGAAAATATACAAAAGAAAACAATAAGAATATGGAGAGCCTGGTGTCCTATGGTCTTCCTTAATAACAATCCATTTTCAAGAGACTATAATCTACTCAACAGAAAGCATTCTACCAAGGATCTTAATCAGATTCCGAGAAAATTCGCACTCAAAATAAACAGTATGCCACTAAAACCAAAACAATGTAGGTATTAGCAGCTATACAAGTGGTTAGCCTCTGATGAGTCATTTCTCAAATGATGAAAGTCTACATCTTTGAAGTGCTTTCTATTCAAGTTAGAAAATATATAAAGGTAGGAATCACCTACAAAGTAGGTTGACTGAGAAATTTTTCATTTTACAGATCCTTGCTTGACTCTATGCAAACATCAAACTAAGAATGGCAAAAATGAGTCTCTCTTCCTACCTATTAATACTAACTTTTTCTCTGTTTTCTCAAGGCATTTTACTTTCAGCATCCAAGTCCATAAGAAATTTAGAAGATGACATGGTATTTAATACATTCCGGCTGGGGAAAGCCTTTCAGAAGGAAGATACTCCACAAAAATCAGTTGTTGCTCCTTCTCTGGAACAATATAAAAATGATGAGAGCAGTTTCATGAGTGATGAGGAAAACAAAAATTCAAAGGTGAGTGGCAATGTGACTTATCCATTCTTCAATGGAAATTTGAATGATTTTTATGATACTTTTGAAAGTAAAATTGATACTTTTATAAACAGAAGTATATATAAACAGTCACACTATTCTTTAGGACAACTGATGAAATTTCATACATACCATGTTGTTCTTCCACTCTGGACAACACTTCTTATCCAAAAGTTTTTTTCCCAAAAATTTGTATCTAGTGTATTTTTAGAGTCAAAACAGTGCAGAGCATCTTTAAATTGATCAATGAGAATATTATACAAATATATTGTAGTTCTATTACCAGTAAGACAGCTAAAACACAAATCAACCTTTTCTTTACAGAACACAGGCTCCAAACATAATTTCTTAAATCATGGTCTGCCACTGAATCTGGCTATAAAACCTTATCTTGCACTAAAAGGATCTGTAGCTTTTCCAGCTGAGAATGGAGTTCAGAATACTGAATCAACACAAGAAAAGAGAGAAATGGGGGATGAAGAAAACTCAGCTAAATTTCCTATAGGAAGGAGAGATTTTGACAGTGAGTAGTTTTTTTAAAATTCAATTCTTGTATCTTAATACCATAAAAATAGAACTCTGAGTTTAACTGGATTTGGATCCAATCTTAAGAAAATCATGTAAGACCATGGTTCAGTTAAGTGACCCCTGCCAAAGATGTGGGATTAAAAGGCATTTAAGAGTTGCTGTAATTTTGATTTATTCAGAATTAGCTATATTAGATCCATTCTCCTATTTCTAATAAATTTTGTGTGATAATAATAGTGCTTTAAACAATTTAAACTTTTTTTTCCTCCAGTGCTCAGGTGCATGCTGGGAAGAGTCTATCGACCTTGTTGGCAAGTCTGAAACCTGTTGGACCACATCATCTTTTCTGAAGAAAACAAAATCATTTAATTGTCTTTCGGGGAAAAAGCCCTTAACATTACTATGACTTGTATTATTTTAAATGTCTGTCTTAAAAGAAAGCAGCTATTAACATATATCTGTAGCCTAAATGATATGCTTTATCTGTGCATTAAACTTTGTGAATATTCTGCACAATTACGACTTACTAGTATTTTGTAAATGCTTAACATACTAACCTTATATAAACTTCAGACCAATATAATAAAGAATCATAACTTACATCTTGCTCTCTTAAAAATTAAGTAGATGGCTTTGGTGAATAGTTTAATATATACAGAAATCTAAAGCACATAAAAAACAAATTCATAGTCTAAAAAATTGAGTTAACTTTGTCTGGCCAGTAATCAATTTGTCCTTGGCTGTACACTTGTTTTTTGCTACTCTGGCTACTTTGCCACACAATTTATTCTGGAAATTGTTTGATGTCTCAGGTATCTTAACATTTTTATGTTGAGGTGGTTCATTTCCATTATCGCAGAGATCATTTTTATCATCTAAATCCACCTGTTTCCTTTTTGAGCTTTTATTTCCTGTCTGACTACTTGATTTTCTTGTTACTTTTTCACTTTTACTTCTGTCCAGAGGAACATTTCCAGAACTTGTTCCAATTGTTGGCCTTCCAACAGATGAATTTACACCTTCTGTTATGCAAGATGAAAAGAGGAAAGAAATTACATAATATTTAGAATTACATGTGAAAATTTTACAATAAACTTTAAAAATTGCTAAAGAATATTCAAAAATTTTATTTGCAATCACATAATGCTGTAAGTCACATGATTAACAAATACAGCTACATTACTAGCACATTACTTTTCATTTTACCATATCATTTTTTTATCCCTGCAAACAACAAATATTTACTTTCTTTGAATGCATGACACTTAATCCTTAAATGCTACAAGTTATTCCTTAAATACATTTAGTTAAATCAAACTGTGTCCTATTCCTCCTTAGATGTGTACCTAGATTTAACTTTTTAAATAAACCCAGGTCTTAAAAATATAAACCTTTACATTTCACATTTCATACTTTGTAAAACAAAATGTCGTTTTACTTAAGTTAAAACCAATTTGGGGTGCCTGGGTGGCTCAGTCGGTTAAACATCTGCCTTCTGCTCAGGTCATGATCCCAGTGTCCTGGGATCAAGCCAACACATTGGCTCCCTGCTCAGAGGGTAGCTGGCTTTTCCCTCTGCCCCTCCTGTTGCTCATGCTCTCACTCATGTGTGTGCGTGCTCTTTCTCTCTAATAAATAAATAAAATCTTTAAAAAAAAACAATTAATATACTAGAATTAAATAGTTATTTAATTACTCAAGCTCAATTACCAGAAAGGTCATTTTCCATGTGAAGTACATACAAAGGCTTGGATGCTGAATTAAGATCATTCCACTTATCCTTGCTTATTGTGCAGTCATCTTTATAAGTACAAGCAAACTGGGATCTAATTAAGGTTTGTTTCATCTAGTAACAGGAAGAAAGAAGAAAGTACACAATTTATTTTATTTGATTTACTTTATTTTTTCATCCAGATAGAAATATACTCTATGGTAATCAAGATACAAAATTTCCTTTAAAAATTCCATTATTCATTGGGAACTGTTAACCCTTGATGTTTCATAGTTTACAAACTCATCCATTGCTACACTGGCATTTTTGTTCTTTTCAGTAATACCAGCTTTACGCACACTTTTTGTACTTTTTAACAGTTTAGAAAAATCAATTTTAGACTGCAGAATATGTTACTACTTGCATATTTAGGAGAATAATAAAGACAATTCAAATATACCATTCTAGGAAGATTTGACCAAGTGATTTAATGGTCAAATATTCAAAATAAACTCTTGCATTTATCTTCAAAGATCGTAAGTAGGAGAAAATCAGAAAGCTAAATTTAATTCTTAACCACAAAAAAGGATGTCAAAAAAGTAGTTTTGGAAATGTATTCTGCAAACATAAAACCAGTGGCCATTTTAGGGATAGAAATTAATTTCAGAACAAAGTAATCTATATGGATAATGCAAATTTCAATAATTACAGCTGATGTGTAATGACTTTCAGTTATCATGGAGAGATATCTTCAAATTGAGATGTCAAATCCTTTTCAGAAGTAGATGTTTAAATTTCAGATAAATGAATAAATAAAGAAGACCTCAACAATTCAAAAATTTAACACTTCAAAGCATAACTATATTATGCTGAAATTACTTACAAAATACTGATTCATAATATGTTGTTCATAAAATCTGAAACAGCACAATTTTATATTTCATATTCAGTATTTAAATATTATGTTATACATTCAGAGGGATCATTGCATTAACCAACTTAGGTGTTAGCAAAGATCATGGCAGTGATATCCACAGACTACAGTTTAAAAGAAATTAGGTTAATCCAGTTGCTTCATAAAAGCTACTGTTTCCAGGGGGCGCCTGGGTGGCTCAATTGGTTAACTGCCCAACTCTTGATTTCAGCTCAAGGCATGATCTCAGGGTCTTGAGACTGAACTCCAGGTCAGGCTCCAAGGTCAGCAGGGAGTCTGCTTCTCTCCCTTTCCCTTTACCTCTGCCCCTCCCCCATGCTTTCACTCTCACCTGTTCTCTTTCTCTCTCTCTCTTGCAAATGAATAAATAAATAAATCTTAAAAAAAAAAAAAGGAAATGTTTCCAGGATGACAAGTTTTATATGCTTTATATTTCAAGTTCTATATCCTTCTGGCTCTAGTTCCCAGATCACTAAAAATTATGTTTAATTTGCTTGGAAATTTAGACAATTGGAGTTTAATATCTTCTATTTTAAACACAAAAATTCACAAAATTGAAAAAAATGTGAAAATGTTAAAGATCAAAAACTATTTTTTTATGTTTGGTTTTATTATTTTTATTTATTTATTTTTATTTTATTCTCTTATGTTATGTTAGTAACCATACATTACATCATTAGTTTTTGATGTAGTGTTCCATGATTCGATCAAAAACTATTTTAAAAAGTACAAGAGAATAAGCTCTTGATTATGGATGATGGACTACAACACAATATCTTCCTGAATCTCTATGAATACAACTACTATTATACAGTTTCCATCATGAGATGCCCTAAAGTATAACCAAAGGTTTTAACTAGACCTTTCTGGACTCTATTAATTCCATAAAAACAGAATTAAAGCAAATGATAAAGCTATTAAAATAAATTCTGTTAATAAAACGAACTTTGTAAAGTTTATACTATATCACGTCATTACTGTAATAACATTATCAAAGACCTTTTATTGCTATCTGCAAAACCAGCACTGTTGACGTTATCTTTATTATTATTATCATTATTATTATCTGTGACATTACACAACATTTCTTTCATTTCACCAGAGTTACTGCTTAGAGAGAATTATAAACTTATTGCCCATAAGGAGTTATAAAGAGTATGGTAAGACCATGAAGGCAAGTGAATGCTAAGTGGCTGGCTGGGATCACTTTCGTGGTAAACAGAGAGTGAATGCACCTGGGAGTGGTTTGGAGGACTTTAGCATCCCACCACAAAACCTTCATCAGCAACCCCCATAAAACATTCTAAATAAAAATACAATAATTATATTATTTAGGACAGAAAATTCATGTTTTCTCAATCTCATGATTAGCAAAAATAAACATTTCCTTAGAAAGCTGTGTTATTTTTAGTAATTTTTGACAAACATCTAAGTAAAAACCTTTCCTTGTTATGTAAATACAGTCACAAAATAAGTGTCATAGCCCTCCTTACATAGATTTCCTCTCTTCAGGCCTCCTATAGAGAAATTTGTGAGCCTCAGTGACAGTAAGGTAATTTCAGAAAACCAGAATTGCAAGACAACGGATTCTTAAAATACTGAGAATGGATTCAGATGTGAAAGGAAATAGTTAACCACTTTATTCGCCATGAAATATATTATTTATAAAAATTTCAAAACATAAGAACCACAACAGTTCAACGGTAATCTTAGGATACTTAACGTCCAAAAGAAAGAACAAGAACCATATGATCCTCTCAATAGATGAAGAAAAAGCATTTGACAAAGTACAGCATCCTTTCTTGATCAAAACTCTTCAGA